AACTTTATACCTAAAGGAACTAGGGAAAAAATAAGAATAAATGAAGCCCACAATTAGTGGAAAGAAGAGAATAATAAAGATTAGACGGAAGTAGTACAAAGAGAGACAAAAAAGTAAAGTGGGAAAGATCAATGAGACTAAGAGCTGGTGATTGGAAAAGATAAAATCTACAAACCTTTAGCTAGACTAATCAAAAAAGAAGAAGAAGAAAGAAAGAAAAGAAAGAGGATACAAATAAATAAAATAAAAAATGAAAGAGAAGTTAAAATTGTAACCGCATAAATTTTGAAGGATAAAATGATACTACTACCAATAATTAAATGCCAACAGTTTGACAGCCATGGATAAATTCCTAGAAACATGAAATCTCCCAAGACTGAATAATAAAGAAACAGGAAATCTGAACAGAAATTACCAAAAAGGAGATTGAAACACAAATTAGAAAATCTCACAAGAAACAAAAGCTGAGGACCAGAGAGATGGCTTCATTGGCAAACTACGAAACACTCAAAGAAGATTTAATACTTATTCTTTTCTCAACATTAACACAAAATATTCAGAGATGACTTGCTTTTCTTCCAAAAACTGAGGAGGATGAAAACATTCCAAAGCATTTGACAAAGCCAATATTTCCCTAATACTAAAAAAAGACAAGGACACCACAAAAATGAAACATTCATGCCACTATCACTAATATCTATAGATGCAAAAATCTTCAACAAATGATTAGCAAATCAAATCCAACAAAATATTAGAAAATTGTACATCTTGATCAAGTGGGATTTATTCCAGGGAAGCAAGGGTGATTCAACATCTACAAAAAACCCATGTAATACATCACATTAACAAAATGAAGAATCAGAATTATACGATCATCTCAACAGATGCAGAAAAAGCATTTGACAAAATACAACCCTCTTTTAACTGCCAATAAAGTGGGTATAGAGAGAATATACCTCAAATAATAAAGGCCATGTATGACAAATACACAGCTAATAACATACTCAATGATGAAAAATTAACAGTTTTTCCCATAAAATCAGAAACAGGGATGCCCACTCTTGCCCCTTTTATTCAACATAGTACTGAAAGTACTAGCTACAGCAATTAAGTAAGGAAAGAAATAAAATTATCTCAAATCTGGACAGAGAAAAAAACTGTCATAATGAAATATAATGTCATCTGCAGATGACATTGTATTATACAAAGAAAATATTAAATACTCTAACAAAAAGATGTGAGAATTAAAAAATAAATTCATTAAAGCTACATTACAAAATCAATATGCAGAAAGCTGTGACATTTCTATACATTAATAATAAATTATCAGAAACAGAAGTTAAGAAAACAATCTCATTTATAATTCAGTTCAGTTCAGACGCTCAGTTGTGTCCAGCTCTTTGCAACCCCATGGATCGCAGCATTCCAGGCCTCCCTATCTATCACCAACTCCCAGAGCTTCCTCAAACTCATGTCCATCGAGTCAGTGATGCCATCTAACCAGCTCATCCTCTGTCATCCCCTTCCCCTCTGTCCTTCAATCTTTCCCAGCATCAGGGTCTTTTCAAATGAGTCACCTGGCCAAAGTATTGGAGTTTCAGCTTCAACATCAGTCCTTCTAATGAATATTCAGGACTGATTTCCTTTAGGATGGACTGGTTGGATCTCCTTGCTGTCCAATGGACTCTCAAGAGTCTTCTCCAACACCACAGTTCAAAAGCATCAATTCTTTGGTGCTCAGTTTTCTTTATAGTCCAACTCTCACATCCATACATGACTACTGGAAAAACCATAGCTTTGACTAGATGGACTTTGTTGGCAAAGTAATGTCTCTGCTTTTTAATATGCTGTCTAGGTTGGTCATAGCTTTTATTCCAAGAAGCAAGCGTCTTTTAATTTCATTGCTGCAGTCACCATCTGCAGTGATTTTGGAGCCCAAAATAATAAAATCACTCATTGTTTCCATTGTTTCCCCATCTATTTGCCATGACGTGATGGGAAGAGATGCCATGATGTTGGTTTTCTGAATGATGAGTTTTAAGCCAACTTTTTCACTCTCTTCTTTCACTTTCACCAAAAGGCTCTTTAATTCTTCTTCCTTTTCTGCCATAAGACTAGTGTCATCTGCCTATCTGAGGTTATTGATATTTCTCCATGCACTCTTGATTCCAGCTTGTGCTTCATCCAGTCCCGTATTTGCATGATGTACTCTGCATATAATTTAAATAGTGGGGTAACAATATACAGCCTTGACGTACTCCTTTCCCAATTTGGAACCATTTACAATTACAATTTACATCAGAATAATACTTAGGGAATAAATTTATCCAAGTACGTGAAGGATTTGTACACTGAAAACTATAAGATGTTGATGAAATAATAAGACATAATTGATGAAAAAATATTCTATGCTCATAGATTGGAAATATTAATATTGTTAAGATATCCATACTATGCAAAGCAATCTGCATATTCAATGCAATTTATATCAAAATTCCAATGGCATATTTCACAGAAATAGAGCAAAGAATTCAAAAATTTCTATGAACACATACACACAAATAACCTGAATAGACAAAACAAACTTGAGGAAGAAGTAAAAATTGGAGATATCATATGTGCTGATTTCAAGCTATACTACCAAGTGATGGCAATTAAACAGTATGATACTGACACAAAACCACACACAGAGGTCAATGCAACAGAACTGAGATCTCAAAACTAAACCCATACACGTATGTATAATTAATTTACAACAAATGATCAAACAACAAACAAAGTATAGTTTCTGTGACAAATGGAGTGGGGAAAACTGAACACTCACCAGCAGAAGAATCTTACACCATATATAAAAATTAACTCAAAATACATTAAGAACTTGAATATAAAACCTAAACCATAAAATTCCTTAGAGAAAATATTGGCAGTAACCTCACTAACCTCAGTCATATTATTATTATTATGTCTTTTGTTGATCTGCTCCAAAAGCAAAGGAACCGAAAATAAAAATAAACAAAAGGGACCATGTTGAACTAAAAAGATAATGGACATAAAAGAAACCATCATCAAAATGAAAAGGCAACCCACTGAATGGAGACTTTTGCAAATCATGTAACTGATAAGGGGTTAATATCCAAAATATATAAATGACCCATGCAACACAACAGTACAGAAAACAAACAACTCAAGTAAAAAATGGGCAGAGGGTCTAAATATTTGCATGCTTTACTCACCACATTTTTTCGAGTTGAGGATTTTTCAAATTAAAAATTATTTTAAAAAAATCATGCTGAGATTTCTCAAGACAATGGCCAGCACTTTGCTAGAGATGACTGAATTCTACATGTATTAAATGACCTAAGTCAAAAATATGTAAATAGTAACTGTTGCCAATGAGGCAATTTACCAGCTTAAGCAAAGTATTCATCCAGCATCTGCTTTTCAGTAGCATTGCAGAACACTGCTTTGCAGCAGAGTTAGCTGCTACATGCAACCTCCTGATACTGAGGCATTACAACCCAAGGCAATCAGAACATTTGCAAATGAGAGGGCTTAACTGACATTTTTGGTGAGGTCTAAGAAGTGTAGATGGATACCTATTAATTTTAACTTGAAAATTGCAATAATGAAAGTGAACTGTAAAAACTACAGTACTGTGAGTTCCCAGAGAAAATTCTTACATGGATTATTAAAGGGGTGTTTTAGTAGACAAAGTAGTACTTAATAAACCTAACAAAATTCATAAAATTATAACTCATATTTGACTTAATTTGCTTTCTTCTTGGAGAAAGTTATTAATTGATTGGTGAGGTTAATTATATACAAAGGGAAGTTAGACTTAAGAAAGATGTTATCAGTCTTTTGTTATATCTTATGAAAAACAAAGAAAACTATTGATAGGACACTTGGATAATTATATAAATTTTTTGTTAGCTTCATTCCTGACTGAAGTATCACTATTAATGGGTTAGTATCACCCTGGAAAGAGGTTCAAAGAGCATTTCCTCTGCCAAGCTTGTATATACAGAATATTTGTCAATGACCCATTAGAGAGAAGTTCAATGATGCAGTGAGCACCTGCCAAAATCACAGTTGTTTCTCTTTGCCACATGAACCCCACTGTAATGAACACAGCTTGCTGGGAAAGAAAAGGATGTTTGATGCAAAATAGCCATGTCTATGCTGCCAAGGGTCTGGACAAACAAATGAGATCCCTTCTTTTAGGGAGCCAGACAATTTGATCATGTCAACGTTAGTCCTATACAGAATAATGTCCCACAGCTTCGGGGCTTCCCTGATAGCTCAGTTTGTAAAGAATCTGCCTGCAACACAGGAGACCCCAGTTCAATTCCTGGGTTGGGAAGATCTGCTGGAGAAGGGATAGGCTACCCACTCCAGTATTCTTGGGCTTCCCTTATGGCTCAGTTGGTAAAGAATTCACCTGCAGTGTGGGAGACCTGAGTTCAATCCCTGGGTTGGGAAGATCCCCTGGAGAAGGGAAAGGTTACCCACTCCAGTATTCTGGCCTGGAGAATTCCATGAACAAAGAATCAAACACAATTTAGCAACTTTCACTTTCATTTTTCACAGACACCTAACTTGAGCATGTGTACCCCTAGATTCTGGGCTTCAAGTTATGACAACAAGTCTAAAGTCATAGATATTTCATGCTTCCAGGTAGATGCATGTGTTTCCTACCTACATGGAGTACTTGTCTCACATGGTGTTAATTTATCTTATCAGTCCATCAATAACACTTAAAATGTTTTCTCTCTGTTTACAATACTGTAAGTTATTGAGACAAAAATCTATTGTAGACATTTTCAAGTTTTATTCTGAGGCAGTTGATAATTTTAAGAGGATAAAATATTCATTTTTTGAAATATGAAGTGGTAAGAATTCTTCAACTTTAATTTTTTAAATTACTTTAGGCAACATGTACTTGTAAATTACAGCTTTATAATGCTTACAAGAATAATAAGGATTAATGGAAAACTTACCAATACTTGGATAACCGGGTGTAGAAGGGTCTCCTCCTGGATTCAGTGACACCATGAAGGTATTAGAGCTAAGATTTGCAGTCTTTGGTAAATCACAAGGATCAATATATAGAAGAACACCTCCAAATCCAGTCTTTTCCAATAAGGAAAGCTGAAAGAGGAGACCAAATTGTTAAAAATATTTTCATGTGCATTATTAGTTCATATACTGCCACTTTATAAAGTGACTACAATTAGATGACTCTCTTTACTGCTTTTATTTTCTTGTAAAATAAGCACATTTCAGATATCCTCACTATCAGATCTTAGAGTTATCCTACTGGCTTCTTCCTTTTTCCTCTATTCAACAATATTAAAGCTGCATTCCTATAATGTTTATATTTTATTCCAATGTCTGTATTTAGAATTTCTTCACTTTTCAGTTGTCCACATACATCTAGAAGTTTTTGCTTCTGTGAGAGCAACAAAAGATCTACCACAGACAGAGTTCCATTGCAAAAGGAGAACTGTTCTGACCACTATCATGTCCTTTCTAAGAGCAGAAGACACCTACAGGACCTTGATATATTTCCTCTAGGACTGAGCCTGTCACCCCAGTTGCTAAAATGTTGAAATACTTTCACACTGGCAAACAGCCACTGCCCTGATGCTCCTGAGAGCTCCCACTGTACTAGTCATTCTGGTCTCTGCCCTGAATGTTCCAGCTATACGTCTAAGACAGAGCAACTAATAAGTATATACATAACCAAATGAGGGGCCTTCTTCTGAATGGTCAGGTTCTGTCTCTATCATTAAATACTTTGAAAATAGCCTGATTATTTCATATGAACATATTTCACTCAAAGGTTCCTCTCTGTTCTTTACTAATAGAGAAGTAAGAATAGGCAGATGAACTTGTCATTCCAGGTTCTCTTGTTTTAACTTGTTAAATTATATTTTTAGGGCAAAGAACTTATTAATCTTTGCATGACTACCATGATTTGTACAGTAATGAACATGATTTGTTAGACCTGTTCCTTTCCCACTAAGGAGGAAAAGTAATTAGGGGGCACTAGGGAATAATGGAGATTATGACGAAGTCATATTGAGTACAGACAGCTGCTTTTCATTGTGTGACTCTTATTAACACCTATATTTCACTTCCCAGTTGCTGCTTCTGTTGTTTATTGAGTTTTACAGTGGACTAAGCAAGGCTTCCCAGGTGACTCAGTAGTAAAAGAAAAAAAAAAAAATTCTGCCTGCCAATGCAGGAGACATTGGAGATGTGGGTTCGATCCATGGGTCAGGAATATCCCCTGGAGGAGGGGATGGCAACCTACTCAAGTATTCTTGCTTGTAAAACCTCATGGATAAAGGAGCCTGGTAGGTTATAGTCCATGGGGTTGCAAAGAATCAGACATGACTGAATATGCATGCAAGCAAGGCATCAGTTGTGTCTCAAACTGGATACACCAGAAGGGTAGGAATCAAGCTTATCTTTTGTATCTTTTGTCTGTACATTTTGCATATAGCAGGCACATAGTAGGCATTTAAGACATTAAATAAAAGAACAAATGACACACATGCTTATATGGCACAACAACCACTTAAAGCAAAACAAGCTCTGAGAAAATATTTGGGATGTACTTCAATCAGAAAAATAAAACATGTGAATATAATTTCAACTACATACAGGAAATAACTTGTAGAAAAACAAATGATGCTTGATGTAAATATTCTACATTAATTGCAACTTTCCAACTCCTTTAAAAACATTCTGTATGTTTCCATTTTAAAAAAAAATAATGAACAAGGATGAATTTTTATAATAAGGATAAAAACCTAACACTGAGAACCATAAATAAGTATAGTTGATTCACGTGTATACTTTCTATAAGAAACTAATCTGATCACATTTCTATTTTTACCCACCAATGTTTTACTGAAGATGGTAAAGGATTCAGGGGGAGAGGAAGAATGAGAGAGAGAATGAAAGAAAACATATATGTGAATAAGAAGGCCACTCCAAGCCAGGCTTCAACAGTACATGAACTGAGAACTTCCAGATGTTCAAGCTGGTTTTAGAAAAGGCAGAGGAACAAGAGATCAAATTGCCAATATCAGCTGGATCATTGAAAAAGCAAGAGAGTTCCAGAAAAACATCTATTTCTGCTTTATTGACTATGCCAAAGCATTCGACTGTGTGGATCACAATAAACTGGAAAATTCTGAAGGAGATGGGAATACCAGACCACATGACCTGCCTTTTGAGAAACCTGTATGCAGGTCAGGAAGCAACAGTTAGAACTGGACATGGAACAACAGACTGGTTCCAAATAGGAAAAGGAGTATGTCAAGGCTGTATATCGTCACCCTGCTTATTTAACTTATATGCAGAGTACATCATGAGAAATGCTGGGCTGGAAGAAGCACAAGCTGGAATCAAGATTGCCGGGAGAAATATCAATAACCTCAGATATGCAGATGACACCACCCCTATGGCAGAAAGCAGAGAAGAACTAAAAAGCCTCTTGATGAAAGTGAAAGAGGAGAGTGAAAAAGTTGGCTTAAAGCTCAACATTCAGAAAACTAAGATCATGGCATCTGGTCCCATCACCTCATGGGAAACAGATGTGGAGACAGGGGAAACAGATGTGGAGACATTGGAAACAGTGTCAGACTTTATTTTTTTGGGCTCCCAAATCACTGCAGATGGTGACTGCAGCCATGAAATTAAAAGCTGCTTACTCCTTGGAAGGAAAGTTATGACCAACCTAGATAGCATATTAAAAAGCAGAGACATTACTTTGCCAACAAAGGTGTGTCTGGTCAAGGCTATGGTTTCTCCAGTGGTCATTTATGGATGTGAGAGTTGGACTGTGAAGAAAGCTGAGGGCCGAAAAATTGATGCTTTTGAACTGTGGTGTTGGAGAAGACTCTTGAGAGTCCCTTGGACTGCAAGGAGATCCAACCAGTCCATCCTAAAGGAGATCAGTCCTGGGTGTTCATTGGAAGGACTGATGCTGAAGCTGAAACTCTACTTTGGCCACCTCATGCGAGGAGTTGACTCATTGGAAAAGACCCTGATTCTGGGAGGGATTGGGGCAGAAGGAGAAGGGGACGACAGAGGATGAGATGGCTGGATGGCATCACTGACTCGATGGGCATGAGTTTGAGTAAACTCCGGGAGTTTGTGATGGACAGGTATGCCTGGCATGCTGCGATTCATGGGGCTGCAAAGATTCGGACATGACTGAGTGACTGAACTGAACTGAAGAGGACCAGATATAACACTGACTCTTCAAATGCTCAGATTGAAGTCCTTAGGGAAGGCTTCTAATGTTTAGATGCTGAAACTACTATTTTCAAAAAGAATAGTCAATGAAACGATTTTGAATCTTCTGCTTACTACAGGAGAAAATATCAAGAAAAAAATGAATGTCTCTAGAAAGCAATTTTTAAAAATATTAGAAATTACTTATTTTGTTACTAAACCAAATTGTGACCATTAGTGAGAAAGAGATGCACATCAACAAAACAAAACAAAATGGCAAAAAGCAATTCCATTATCTTATGTGTCAAGTGGCAGCAAATATTAACATGCTGATGTTTCTAGATACCTTTATTAGGGCTTATGCACATTCATACATATATTTACAAAATACCTATGAAAAACATTATTTTGCAATATTTCTTTTTCACTTAGTATATACTAAACATATGTCCATGTTGATAACTACACTTATGTATCACTTTAATAGATATATACTATATATGAGTGATGTAAGTAATATCATATAAAAAGTCCATCAAATATTAGTAACCAACTCCTGATTGTTGATCAAATTATTTTAAAAAATGATATTAAAAACTTCCTTATAGCTGTATCATTACACAAATACCTGTTTTAACAAAATATATTTTCACATATATATTTTTGAGGTCAAGGTACTCCTGTTTTTTATGATTTTTAAAATAAACTAGTTTCCTTCCAGAAAAGCTATTAAAAGTTATTTTCTTACCAACAGTATATGTGAACATTCATTGCCTATCATTATCACCAATACTGAATATTATTACTTTTCCAAAGATATTTGTCAATATGTCCAAATCTTAGTTCTCCAAAAATTTTTCATTATTAATGAAGTTAAATGGATATTTGTTTGTGATTTTGGTCAACGTTATCTTCCCTCCTGAAAAATTAACCTGCTTGTGAAAAACTATTTTTACAATTCCTAGGCCACTTATCCATTCATAAATACCTAATGAGTGTCATTGTCATACAGGTAATTGGAACCATTGGATTATGGAGGTTAAGGAGGACAATGTCTTTGCTTTTAGGAAGGCGAGTTTACCAGTGGAATGGTGGATAGTTTTCACTTTGGGTTGTTGCTTTTGAGTCGCTGAGTTGTGTCCATGTCTTTGTGACCCCATAGACTACTGCACGCCAGGCATCCCTGTCCTCCACTATCTCCCAGAGTTTGCTCCAGTTCATGTCCACTGAGTCTAAGATGCCATCAACCATCTCATTCTCTGTCGCCCCCTTCCCCTCCTGCCTTCAATCTTTCCCAGCATCAGGGTCTTTTCTAATGAGTCAGCTCTCTGCATCAGATGGCCAATGGATTGGAGCTTCAGCTTCAGCATCAGTCCTTCCAGTGAATATTCAGGACTGATTTCCTTTAGGATGGACTGGTTTGATCTCCTTGCTGTCCAGGGACTCTCAAGGGTCTTCTCCAGGACCAAAATTTGAGAGCATCAATTCTTTGGCACTCAGCCTTCTTTATGTTGCAACTCTCACATCTGTACATGACTACTGGATAAAACCATAGCTTTGACATAACAGACCTTTGTTGGCAGAGTAATGTCTCTGCTTTTCAATACACAGTCCAGGTTTGTATAGGTTTCCTTCCAAGGAGCAAGTGTCTTTTAATTTCATGGCTGAAGTCACCATCTGCAGTGATTTTGGAGCCCAAGAAAATAAAGTCTGCCTCTGTTTCCATTATTTCCCCATCTATTTGCCATGAAGTGATTGGTCCGGATGCCATGATCTTAGTTATTTGAATGTTGAGATTTAAGCCAGCTTTTTCACTGTCCTCTTTCACGTTCATCAAGAGACTCTTTAGTTTCTCTTCACTTTCTGTCATTAGAGTGGTATCATCTGCATATCTGAAG